TAAATTGCTCCAGTCTGATAATGACTCCTCTACACATATTCTAATTTTAGAAAAGTCTGTTTTTCTAAAGTCTAAAACTTTTGTTTGTGTGTGGTGTGACTCAGTCACTGTTCTTATATTAAACCACACTGACTGATGATCACTGAATCCTAAACTTTCACCTACAGTAATATCTGATACGAAATTTCCATTTGTTAACACTAAATCTAGTATGGCCTCTTTACGAGTTGGCTCTTCAACAACTTGTTTTAGAGACAATCCCAGTAGGGAGTTTAGAATATGTGTGCTCCTGGCACAAGTATCTAATTTTGTTTTCCAATTTACATCAGGAAGATTAAAGTCACCCATGATGATAACTTCCTCCTTCATTGTCATTTTAGCTATTTCCTCAACTAGTAGATTATCTAACTCTTCAATTTGTCATGGGGGCCTATAAATCACACCTACACAAGTTACTGTGTGATTACCAAATTCTAATGTAACCCAAACGGACTCTATACTTGTCTCACTAACTTTTATTAGGCTAGATTTTATGCTATCCTTCACATATAGGGCCACCCCTCCCCCTTTCTTGCCTTCCCTATCTTTTCTATATAAAGAGTACCCTGGTATTGCTATGTCCCAGTCATTTTTCTCATTATACCATGTCTCAGTAACAGCAACTAAATCTACACTATCTGTTGCCATTATTGCCACAAGTTCATGGATCTTTTTCCCTAAACCGCGAGCATTTGTAGACATGACTCTAAGCTTATAATTTTTTAACACACTTGCTACAGGCACCTTCTGTCCTTGTTTTGGGGGACAATTGGATTGATGTTTTATCACCCTCCCCCCCCCCTCCTAGTTTAAATACATCCTAGCAAAATCTCTGAGCTGCTCACTGAGAACATTTGTTCCCTTTTGAGAAAGATGCAAACCATCTTTTTTTGTACAGCTTATTTCCATTCCAAACAGAGCTACCATGAGAAATAAAGCCAAATCCTTGCTCCCGACACCATTCACCAAGCCACAAATTAAAGTCCCTAATACGCATCCGCCTGTCGTTCTGAGTGTTATGCACAGGCAGAACTTCAGAGAATGACAGTGTGGAAACAACCTGCCGTATATCATTGGCAAAAACACTAAAAACTTCCCTAACCTCTGAAACTTCATTGCAAGCCAAGTCATTTGTCCCTAGATGGACAAGTACAT